AGAGAATTTTTAAAAATAAGCTGTGGTTGTAATAGATAGTAAAACTTTTGACCAGTTTTATTCTTTTTCGAATTTTTAAATTTTCTATAATGTCATCATATTACTTTTTAGTTCTTTAAAAATAAGAAAACAAAAAAGTTATTAAACTCTCTTAAAAATTTTGAATTGAAGATTCCTAGGCTGCCTGTGAGCTACAAATCAAAAATATGAAGTAAGCTGAACAAATTTTCCCTTTCAAAATCAAAGTGAAGTATTTAGCTATGAAGTTACGAAAGGACTAAATGTATACAAAGTTTTTCCAAAAGATTATATGAAAGTAACTCAGATACTGGTAGCTATTACATACTATATTTATTTAGTATGCCATTATGAAATTTCTATATTTAGGTTGCAAATCCATTCTGAATAATAATAATGTTCCTCCAAATTACTTTCCAGATTTACCCTTGTTGAATTGAATGGCATTAAATTTGCCATTCAGTGAAGTACCTTCTAGTTATATATACTATAATTACATTATAATTGGCTGATATTCAACATCAATCAATATTTTTAAAATAATTTTATTTAGTTATTTTTCAAGTACAGTTTTTTGTCTATTTCTCCCATCCCAGCACCCCCCCCCGCCCCATGCTCCCCACCTCCCTCCCATTTCCACCCCCCTTAGTTCTCGTCTCTGTGTCCTTCATATTTGTTCCTCCATATCCCTCCCCTTTTCCCCCTTAAATTCCCTTCCCTCTCCCCTCTGGCAATCAATATTTTGACAGAACTAACAAAATCCTTTATTATATAATCAGACAATTTCTAGTGCCAATATTTTTTAGCCAATAGTACAGCAGGCATGTTCTACTAAATTTTAGTAGAAAAAACATTGAACTGGGTTGGAGGTGAGAAAATTTTGTTTCATTATGCTAATAATATCTGACTATGTGAACCTAGAGAAATTTTTACTTCTCTTTACCTCAATTTTCTCATTTCTAAAACTGAATGATTAAATTAACAATCTTTAAGGACTTTTTAGCTCTAGAGTTCTGATATACTCAATAATTACTGCCAAATAATAACCATTCTATCACTTTTCGTGTCCCTGGAAGCACTGTGACAAGTCAAGGATTAAATATTTTGATCCTTTGTACAACATAGACAAAGAAAACACAAGAACTAGTATTTTCAGATGGTGACATTTTGAAAAGAAAATATAAATTACTAAAAGGAGTACAAAATTGGTTTTAGATATATATTATAAAGGTTTTCTCCCTTTTTATTTTGAAAATTTTTAAATTTAGCAAAAGTTAAAAACAATACTATAAGTACTATATATATTTCACTTAGATTCATAAAATGTTAACATTTTTATCATCCTGCATTCCTTCTATCAATTTTTATTTTTTCCAGACCATTTGAAAGTATTTGCAATAAAAATAAATAAATAAAAATTTTCTATTCTACTAAATGGTCAAATTAATTGTATTTAAAAAAAGAAAGTCCCTGGCTGGCGTAGCTCAGTGGATTGAGCGCAGGCCTTCGAACCATACGCTCACAGTTCGATTCCCAGTCAAGGCACATGCCTGGGTTGCAGGCCAGTTCCCTGCAGGCCAGTTCCCAGCAGGGGGCACACAAAAGGCAACCATACATTGATATTTCTCTCCCTCTCTCCTTCCCCCCTTCCCCTCTAAAAGATAAATAAATAAAATCTTTTAAAAAAAAGTGCTGATATTATGACATTTTACTCCTTAATCTTTAGCATGCATGTTCTTAAAAATATTTTTAATATATTTTATTGATTATGCTATTATAGTTGTCCCATTTTCTCCCCTTTACTCCCCTCTGCCCTGCACATCCCGTCCCACCCACATTCCCTCACAGTGTGTCTACATACACCTCCATCTTGGCTGGAAGTTCTGTTCTTAAAAATATTTTCATCTTTATAATACCACTATCACAAGTAAGAAAATTAACATTAATTCAATATTACCTAGTATACAGTCCATATTTAAAATTTCTCAATGTTCTCAAAAATGTCTTTTTTTTAATACTCACCCAAGGACATTTTTTCATTCCTTCTCAAGAGAGGGGAAGGGAGAGAGAGAAATACTGATGTGAGAGAGAAGCATCAATTTGCTTGCCTCCCACATGGTCTGGACCTGGTATCATAAACTCCCAGGCCAGGTATCAAACCAGCAACCTAGGAGCGTGCCCTGACCAGGAATCAAACCCTCAACTTTTTGATTATGGGATGATGCTCAAAGCAACTGAGCCACACCAGCCAGGGCTTTTTAATCCTTTATTAAAAAATCCAGAATCCAATCAAAGTTTATATATCACATTTAGTTATGTCTCTTAATCTAAGAGTCTTCCTGCCTTTAAAAAAAATGACATTATTTTAAAGAGCCTAAGCCAGCTAGTTATTTTGTGATAGTTCCAATATTCTAGAAGCACCTGAGTGTTTATTCATAATTAGATACAGGTTAAGCATTTTGAATAAGAACATTACATACATAATATTCTGAACTTTTCATTATATTACATCAAACTGAACATAATGAGAGGTGGTTTCAGTACTAGTGATGCTAAATTTGATTAGTTGGTTAAGGGAGTGTCTGATAGATCTCATCAGTTTAAAGATATATTGCTTATCTTTATAGTAAGTAATCTATGGTGTGATCGTGTGAGCTCGTAGTTTTAAGATCCATTAATGACACTTGCCTAAATCAATTATTTTATCAGGAGTGGTAAAATGGAGATTTTTCTATTCCATTATTCTTTGTGTATTTACTAGCTGCTATTCTGTAAGGAAAATTTCTCTTACCCCACCTCTTCCTTCCTTCCATTACTCCTTCCTGCCTTTCTTCCTCTCTTCCTTTCCTCTGTTCTTCCTTTTTTTTTTTCCTTTAGGCTTTAAAGTATCACTATAGAATCAGGGATGTTTTATAATCCATTACTGTCATTGTTATTTTTGATGTTCAAAGTATCCCAAATTTGGCTACTGCATAAAGACTCTGAAGTCAAAAAGCACAGGCAGATTTGAGGTAGATTGGCGAAATCCATAAAAGTCAATTTTTTAGTATTATACACATTTATTGAGGGGTGTTATTCAAAACATTTAACAAATGGCTCAACACAGTAATTAAACATTCAGAATCTATGCTGGCAATAAAGAACTAATATATACTGTACAACTATTACTCCCTTAGTATTACTGAGAGAATCAAATTTTCAAGTTATGTGAATAATTTTATTCATACAAAGTATTTCAGTATTACTAATGTACTAGCATAAAACAATGTTAAATCAGATACTATACAATAAAAGCAGGCCTATAAATTCCTTAATGTGGTTCATTAAGATCCAGGTTAATGTGTTAATGTGTCACAAGTAAACATTCTTAAAATTACATTGCTTTCAAAATTTTTTGAAACTGTAGATTCTTATTAAGTATCTTATTTTACTCTTACCTTTTCTGTCAGAAAATGTTGGTCTTGTTCCCAAATAAAGCTACCAATTTTTCTTCTTATTTCTGTGGTAGGGAACACAAATCCAATACTATTTTTAGAAAAGTAAATGTAAAATTTTCTAAATTTTACTAGGAGTTTGAAATTTCTAAGCCAGCATTATTCCACTTGTATCAAAAGCACCTAGCATGCTTTTTTAAAATGTAGATTCCTATTGAATGAGATTGCTCATTTCTAACAAAATTTCTAACAAATTTTCCAGATGATTCCAATGCATTGTGAGAATCATTGTTGTAAACTTTTCCCGCTGGAATATACATCCTCATTACATATCAGTGTCTTTAGACCAAGTATTGATAAAGAAGGCAATTGTCCAATCAAAATAAGAGTTATAAAATTCCTGAAGTTGTAGAATAGAGGTCCTCAAGAATTCAGTAATTTACTCTGCTAAAAAGAGAGTAGAAAGAAACATGTCTACTGAGCATGGTAGTGCAGAAATTCTACAGTGCTCAGTATGTCAAAGGACTATGTAATCATCTTAACTCAAAGATCTCAAAAGTTTTCACAGTAGCCCTTTCAAGCACAAAAAGGTAACATTCCTTCATGGGTATCCAACCTGTGGCCTGCAGGTCACATGCGGCCCAGGATGGCTATGAATGTGGCCCAACACAAAATTGTAAACTCACTTAAAACCTTTGTTTTGCTCACTAGTTTTCATTAGTGCTTATGTATTTAATGTGTGGCCCAAGACAACTCTTCTTCCAGTGTGGCCCAGAGATGCCAAAAGGTTGGACACCCCAGTTAGTAGTAGCCACTAGACTAGCTACATGTGTGTACCTATTGACATGTGCCACTAGTTCAAACCAAGATGTGCCATAAGCATAAAATAAATACTAAATTTCAAAGACTTAGTATAAAACAAAAGAATGTAAACTATCAATAATTTTATATGTATTTCATATGAAAATGATATTTTAGATGTGTTAGGTTAAATCAAATATATTCTTAAAATTAATTTTACTTTGTATTCTTTTTAATATGGCTACCAGAAAATTTAAAATTAATATATAGCTATATTTGCATCTTCATACTTCTACTAGACAGTACTGGTCTAGACGGATAACAATGTATAGTTTTCATTTTTTAAAAGGAGCATATTTTCATTTCTGACAGTTTTTACAAATTTAAATACATTTTAATATGAGTCTAAACCCAAAGTCAGGAGTCATTAATTTATTTACTTATATAACCACTTAGAACAATTTATTGTTATAACTAGGTCCTGTCAGGTCATTAACTATGAAAGGAACCCAATGTTTGGGGTTTCTGAAACTCTTCTATAAAAATCTTTTTAAATTTTTTTAAAACACTTTGCTCACAGGGAATTTGTACTAGCTTCCATCTGTCTTGCTATGGATGGACACATACATACACATCAAGAATTGGGTAATAATGCAAGACCTACAAAAATGGGATATTTAGAGTTAGCCCACATAAGGTAGGTAGGATTTGAACAGAATAGGATAAGAAAGTATGTTCCAATCAGGGAAAACTAAAACTACAAATTTCAAAAGCAGTTTATTTTCTTACTCTAGTTCACAGCATTGCTGAAATAATTAATGCGAAAGTACTTTAAAAATATACAGAACAATAGTAATATGTGGATTTGGATTAATCATAAATCTTTAAACATCAGAGAATAGAAAAAATTGTTCTGAAATATAATGAAAAGATTCGAATCTAGCAAAGAACATCTTATTGAAGGCTCACATATCAGACTGCTTAGATTATCTCATTTTATCCTGAGGATTCACCATGGAATCCCCAGGACGTGGGTTGAAGCCTGGCACGCAGTAGGATTTCAGTGAGTGAATGCGTGAATGAAGGATAAACAAATAAAACTAGAATATAGACCCAAGACAAGCTGATCCAAAGGCCATGCTTTTCCACTTAGATCAGTATAGTTAGGTGACTTAGCTGGATTTGGCTGTCAGACAGGGATTGGGTGAATGATCTTTGCTAACCTTCTTGCACGCATGCAGGAGGAAGAAGAAAATGACCTAAAACCACAGAATTTTTAACTTCAGCGTTAGCTACTGCAGAAAGATAGTAGGCATGAAAAACTGTAGCATTGTCGTCTGTGTAATCAAGGCTCTGATATATTCTAGGAGAAAGAAAGAAAATATTTTAGATTATGAAATGAACACTAGTATGTTCAACCTTTCGAAAGTAAATGAATGGAAGTAGGGAGAATTATCTGTAGGTAATCAGGAGACTGGGGGTCCGGGGTGGAGAAGCAGGACAACCAGGACAGTGACTAGGTTTCTGCTTCGTAAACATAATCAGACAGCAATATGAAGGAGGACCCCAGATGGACAGATTGAAGGATAACTACCGTGATAATCTGGTCAAGAGGTAATTAGGCTGAGTACTAAGGTAATGACAGTGAGTGAGTGCTAAGAACATTTACAGGGGTACAACCCATGGTGTTTGGTCACGGACTGATAAATGGAGGTAGGGGTTGTTATTCAAAAGAAACGACAAAGGTTTTAAGCTTGAGAACACAGGACCTGGTGCTGGTCTGAGAGGCGACCAGGAGTTTGGTTTAAACATATTAAATAGGAGGGGCCTTCGAGACAGCCGAAAACACTGGAACTGGAGAACTGACTCGGGGACCAGGTAGAAGGCCATGCTAGTGAGGCAGAAAGGAGAGAAGAAAGGTTATCTATCTTCATCCCCACATCTAACACCGAAAACATGCTCGTTTCCAGTCTATTCTGATCATCCCCATTCGATTTCCAGCTCCTGGCTCTTCGTGACGCGAGAGGCACTGCCAGGTGGCCTTCGGGTACCTCAGCGTGTCTGGGTGGGAAGCGTCACAGCTGAACAGGAAGTCTGCGGCCCTCACGTCACTGATCGTCCCCCCTTCGGCCACTGTGGAGGCAAGGGCAAAGGGTAAGCTAGCAGGAACCTTCCGGCCAAAGCACAAGAGTGGGGAGGGTGCGACCCTCACCACCTCACCCACCCCTTCCACCCAGCTTCCTACCCCAGAATTGCCTCTGGTCCCGGCTGACGCTGCGGCAGAACCAACCCCGCTGTCCTCGAAACATGGCGCTGCCTGGCAGACTCGGGTGTGCGCGAGGGGGCTGTAGCAGAGATCGCTGATTGGTCTCAGGTCTGAAGCCAAGTTCGATGATTGGTTGTCAGGGTAATGGGCGGGAAAAACCTGAGGCAAGAGGAAGAAGGGTCCAAGCACTAGCAGACTGAGTTGATGATCAACTGATAAAATTGTGGAGTGGACTCTCGGCTTCCTGTCCAATGCTGAGGAGGGGTCAGTAGTCCTGCCTGTGAGTTTTAAACCCTAAGTATTAGCAAAATTATTATGCTATGTTGTGCAGGCATGGGCACAGGTTCTATAACATCAACTATTTTTAAATGAAGTAAAATTGACTTACAATATTATATTAGTTTCATATAATGATTTGATATTTATGTACATTACAGTGTGATTACCCCGAAGGTCTAGTTACCTTCCGTTGCCATACGAAGTTATTACGGAACTATTGGCTATTCTCTATGCTGTTTGTTATAATCTCTGTGTTTTATTTATTTATTTTTTTAACTGGAAATTGGTACTTCTTAATATACTTTGCTTGTGCTCCCCCCACCCCAACCCTCTGCCTCTCCACCCTTTGTCTTCCTCTGGCAACCACCAGTTTGCTTTATGTATCTATGAGCCTGTTTGTTATATTCTATTTGTTCTTTGTTTTGTTTTGTTTTTAGATTCCATGTATAAGTAAAATCATATGATATTTCTCTTCTTTGATTTACTTAGCATAATGCCCTCCAGGACCATGCATGTTGTTTTAAATGACAAGATTTCAGTATTTTTATGACTGAGTAATAAAATTTCATATATATATATATATATATATATATATATATATATATATCCCCATCTTTACCCATTCATAATTTCCACAAACACTTATCTTGGCTATTGGAGATAATGCTGCAATGAACATAGAGATGCATATGTCTTTTTGAGTTGCTTAAATACTCAGAAGTGGAATTGTAGCATCAATTATTGAAGCAAAACTCATTTTATCATTTCACCTATAAATGTTTTAATCACACTTTTTCAAATTGGTTTTAGAAAGAGAGGAAAGGACAGAAACATTGATTTGTTGTTCCTCTTACTTATATGTTCATTGGTTGATTCACTTTTTTAAAAGATTTTATTTATTATTTTTAGAGACAGGAGAAGGGAGAACGGAAGAGAGGGAGAGAAACATCAATATGTAGTTGCCTCTCACACACCCCCTACTGGGGCCCTGGTCCAAAACCCAGGCATGTGTCCTGGCTGGAGACCTAACCAATGACCCTTTGTTTTTCAGGCTGCCACTCAATCCACTGAGCCACACCAGCTAGGGCATTGGTTAATTCTTGTATGTGCCATGACCAGGAATCAAACCTTGACATATGTGGACAACGTTCTACCCAATTGAGCTGCCAGGCCAGGGCTTCATTGGCCTTCTTCTTTTTTTTTTTTAATTTAAATCATTTTATTGTTGTTCAATTACAGTTGTATGTATTTTCTCCCCACACTTCTCTCCCACCCCCTCCAAACCCACTTCCCTCCCTTGCTTCCACCTCATTGGTTTTGTCCATGTGTCCTTAATTAATTGGACTTTTTAAAAAACATAACCATAATACCATTATCACACTTAAAATAATGTTTAATACAGTCAAATATCACATGTTCAAATTTCCATTTGTCTCAAAATTATGTTTTTCTTTTACAGTACCTAGCTTCCTCCTTAGATCAGTTTTGATAAGTTATATTTCCTGGAGTTGGTCCCATTTAATCTAAAAGTTCAAACATATTGATATAAAATTGTTCATAAAAACTTTTTTAATATCTGCAAGGCTCTGTAGTAATGGCACCTTTTTCATTTTTTATATTAGTTATTTTTTCCTTTTTTTATTTCTTAGTTTTGCTAAAGGTCTGCCAACTTTATTAGTCTTTTCAAAGAAAAAACTTCTGGCTTCATACTCTCCTATATTTCTTTTCTATGTCATTAATTTCTGCTCTTATAATTTCCTTGGTTTTAAATTGTTGTTAATTTTCTAATATCTTGAAAGAGATGACTGATTTACATTCTTTGTTTTTCTAAAATGTGCATATAAGCCTAAAAATTTCTATTAAATTGTGTGACACAGTTTTTGAGATGTCATTTTTGGTTTAATCCTCACCCAAGGACATGCTTCTTGATTTTAGAGAGAGAGGAAAGAAGAGAGAAAAACATTGATCAGTTGCCTATTTTTTGCACCCCAACTAGGAATCAAACCCACAGCCTAGGTATGTGCCCTGACCAGGAATTGAACCCTCATCGGTTAGGTGTGTGGGATAACACTCCAAACAACTGAGTCACCTGGCCAGGGCAAGATGTCATTTTTTATTATTCAGTTTAAAATATTTTTTTATTTCCAATGTAAGTTATTTGATCCATGGGTTAAAATATTTTTAAATTTTTAAGTACATGGTATTATTTAGTCACAATTTGATTTCTGGATTTTTAAATGGATTAAGGTCAAAGATTATGGCCTGTGTGACAATAATCCTTTAAAATTGTTTGAAATTCTCCTTATAACTGAAGTATATTGTCAGTGTTGTGTGTTTAAAGAATGTTCCACTGTTGGATGTTCTGAGGTGTTGGGTGCAGTGTTCGACATTTGTTATTGGGGCAAGTTTGTTCATCATATTGTCTGATTCTGCTATCAATTACTGAGAGAGGCATGCTAAGACTACTTGTGGTGTTATTAATTTCTTCTTGTTAATTTTTGCTTTATATATATTGAAATTATGATGTCAGGTGCATGCAAATGTACTTGCTACTTTCTGGTTGATTAAATCAGTAAGCATTTAAATATGTAATGCAAAGCTTTAAAACATATGAATAAAACACAGGAGACTATCTCTTTGGCCTCTGAGTAGAGAAAGATCTTTTAAATGAGACACAAGTATTAATCAGTAGAAGAAGATGTGTGCAGAGCAAATAACCAATAAAGGATTGGTATCCAGAACCTATAAATGACCATATGAATCAGAACAAGACAAACAACCCAATAGAAAAATGGTCAAACACCTGAAGAGGCATTTCATAGAAGAGGGAACTTAAATGGCCAATAAACTTTTATGAAAACATGCTCAACCACAGTGATAATTAGGGAAATGCAAAAAAAACAACAAAAAACAACCTACAGTAAGATAGTATTATGTACACTCTTTAATAGTAAAAATTTAATTGGCAAAGACAGATTAATGGGAACTCCCACTGCTTGTGAGGGTGTAAATTGGCATAATCACTTGGACCAACAATTCAGCATTACTTACTTGCAGGATTGCATATTGTATGTCCCAGCATTTATTAGATATATACCCAGGGAAACGCTTGCTCCTATTTACCAATACATATATATAATGTTTAAGGCAACCTTGTAGTTAAAGCAATAGCAACAACCAAAAAAACAAAGGTAAAAAAACAGTGGTTTGGATATTTAAATTGTTTTATTTTCATAGAATGGAACACAACATAATTTTAAATTTTTAATTAACTGAGGAAAATGTACAACATGATTCCAATCATTTTAAGTGCCAAAAAACAGGTAGTGAAACTATACCTAGATATGTCTTATAAAAAAAAACTAAACAGTACATTTGTTGAAAAAGCAGACCTATGATTTATTTTCGAAAAGGAAAAAGCCAGATACAAAATGTAGATTAGTGATTACCTCAGGGCTAAGAGAGGTACACAGGGGCCTTCAATGGTTTTGATACTGTTCTAGCTTGTTTTTGTAGTATAATCTAAACTGTACATCTACATTCCATACACTCTTCTGTATATATTTTACAATTTAATTTTTAAAAAAGAATCAAGAAAGTAACCTGCCACAGTCCAGCCGCAGCAGGGTCCAGGGATTCCCAAAGGTGGGTAAGGCGTCGGCGATGGGTAACAGACGACAACACACCTCAAAGGACAGTGAAGCTCTGTTCCGTTTATTGCAAGTACAAGCAGGTTTTTATATTTTCATTTTAGGTAGTGATTAACATTTGCAGTATAGCATGTTCATTTAAGCAGAAAAAATCAATACAAAGGTAACCAGGAAAAATACGAAAGTTCCCATAGATTCAGTTATAATAAACAAAGATTATTTTTACCAGGAGAGCTATTAATCAGACAATTAAAAATAGCTGTATGTACAGAATTTGAATATCATATTGTATATTAAAATTTCTCAGAATTTGTCATGGGGCAAAAGGATACACTAGATTGAGTAGAGGTAACAAAATTTATTATATGTAGATGTGATGTCTAATCAGCTATCCTTTTCTGTCTAAAATGTTTCTCTGTGTACTATAAACTCTGACTCTTTAGTAACTGTTTCTACATGTTTAGTTTGTAATAGTTAACCAGCCCTTTTTAAATTTCTTTGCCTGTCCAATTGATATATATTCTTTTTTTTTTAATATTTTATTTATTTATTTTTCGAGAGAGGGGAAGGGAAGGAGAAAGAGTGGGAGAGAAACATCAATGCATGGTTGCCTCTCATGCATCCCCCGCCGGGAACTGGCCTGCAACCCAGGCATGTGCCCTGACCGGGAATCGAACCTCGATACTCTGGTTCGCAGGCCCGCGCTCAATCCACTGAGCTATGCCAGCCAGGGCCAATTGATATATATTCTTATTCAAGGTAAAGGAGGGGCTGTTACTCCAACAACTTTTAAACATTCAGGGACTATTTCATTAGCGGGAACTTTGTTCTCTGGTTAAGAAATTATTTTGTCAACTTCATAGGAATTATGCAAATCAATGAACCTGAAATACAGGTGTCTAACAATCCCACCACCTTTTGATTACCCAAACAAACATATAACTTGTTTTTCTTATTTCTGGTATACCATGGCGGTCCTGATTGCTTTAAGTTGCTCAAACTGATACAGGGTGCAGCCAAGGGGGGCCCCCCCAAAAAAAGATTTGGAATGGTGTCCAGAATTCAAAGTGTATAGGAATATTGGAGAGACATATAAGATGTCCTCACACCTCCC